CGCTGACCACACGGGCCTCTGATGGGCTCCTGGGGCTCGCCCCGCCTATGACCATAAGTGGGTCCACAATCCTGCCTCCCTCTCCCGGCCTCCCGATCCACCCCCCCTCCGCGGAGAGCCGGGCAGCTGCGATTGGTCTGCTCGCGAGCCTCAAACTCCGTCCGAACTTATCATTGGACGTCTCTTAGTGGGGTCCACAATCCTGCCTCCCTCTCCCGGCCTCCCGATCCACCCCCCCTCCGCGGAGAGCCGGGCAGCTGCGATTGGTCTGCTCGCGAGCCTCAAACTCCGTCCGAACTTATCATTGGACGTCTCTTAGTGGCCTGTGTGGATTGGCTGCCCAAGCATCCGCCCCCCGCGTCGGGCAGAGGCGCAGCCAAGCTGTGGTGGCGCTGAGTGGGTGGAGCGAGGCGGCCGCGGGCGGGCGTGGGCAGCCGGACGTACCCTGGCAGAGAGCAGCAGGTGGCGGCGGTGCAGGGGCCCTGGCCCCACCAGCGGGCACTGGCCCAGAGCCACGGCCGGGGGGCCATCTAGCTGGAGAGAGAAGGGACAGGTGACCCGATCGGAGCCCAGCCCAGCCCAGCCGCCCTCGGCGGGGGCGAGAGAAAAGGGAAGTTGAGGCAGGGGAGGGAATTTTAGGGACATCTCGGAGGGGATTTTGTGAGAGGCCCGAACCGAGGGCGAGCTGGCAGGTGTGAGGCTGAACGAAGGGCACTTGCCCTCTGAAGTCCCAGAGAAGCAGGGTGGGTATCAAATCTGGACCGGGAGTTAGGGAGGGGGCAGCAGAGCAGGGAGCAGGCCTGAGGCAAAGGAAAGAAAGGGGTCTTACATGGGAAGGTGGATCCGTGGCCCGGGGACTGGGGACCCCAGTGACAGCTGGAAGGAGAAGAGAGAGGCGTAGGGTGCGTGGAGGGACCGGGAGGGCAGTGACGCGGTGTGCCCCAGCCTGGGCCCCTCCCCTCCCCCAGGTGTTCACATTCACCCACTCGGAGCCACAGAGGGCACACCCCATCCCGCCCTGGGGTTAGGGGTGGATGAGGGACTCGCCTGCACCCGTGTTGCCGCACGGACTCCCATCCGCTCCTTCAGCTGTTGCACGTGCGCCTCCAGGACTCGGTTGCGGTCCTCGGCCTCGCGCAGTTGACTGCAGGGTGGGGGTGGGGGAAGGACGGGCGGGCGGTGAGGCCCGGGCCAGAGGGGTTGCAGTGGACTGCCGGCCCCCACCCACTTGCGGACCAGACCTGGCAAAGTTCTGGTTGGCGGTGCGGATGGCCTCCAGCTCCCGGCTCAGGCTCTGCCTGGTGAGCACCTCCTCTTCCAGGGCCTCGTGGAGCTCCCGCAGTGTCGCCTCAGTTTCACCCTTGGCCTCCCCCGCTGCCACTGGCATAGCAGCTGGAACAGCCACCTCAGCCTGTGTATGGGGACCGAGCTTAAGGCTGCCTGTGACTCCAATGTCCTTGCTTGCTCACTGCTCCCCACCCTCCATCTTCCTGAAACACTCCTACCCCACCCCACCCCCAGCTCCTGCAGTGCTCAGAGCCCTCCTCCTGCCCTTAGTCTGGTCCCTTCCCCTCCAGACAAAAACCAAAGGGCTACTCCTAAAACTCGATTCCACTGGACCTCAGCCGCCCCTGCTCTCATTTCTCCAGCTCTCCGTCCCCTTGGACAAGGCCTGCTCTCCCCACCCCAAAGGCATGGCTTGGTTTGCTTCCCCCCGGCCTTTCCAGCCTGCCGGCACCAGCCTGCTGCCCCCTTCTGAACCAACTGGCCTTCCTACCTCCCAGCCCTTGTGGAGGGCAGTGGGCACTTTCCGTGTCTGCCCCTCCTTCCCCGAGCTCAGATCAAAGACCCAGAGCCCGCCTCAAACACCCACGAGTCCCTGTTTTAAATTCTTCCTAGGGACCAAATCTTGATTGACGTGACCTTGGCTGTACTTGTTTCCAGTCTGTTCTGTCTGCTGGGCTCCCAGAAGGCTTAGCACTCCACAGCCGCAGGGCCGCACTACCCTGGAAGGCAGGGCCTTCTCTCCTGTTCCCGTGCCCACCCCCAGCCTGCCCCTCCACCCACTCACTGTTTCTTCTGCTGGGGCCGCTGGGGGCTCCAGGCTGGGCTCTTGCACATGCAGCTCAGGCGGTTCCTCAGCCTCCAGTTCCATGGGGGTGGGGCCTGGGACCTCACTGTCCCTGGGGGAAGGAGAGGGACAGAGGAGAGAGGGGCTGCCAATCTAATGGGTGTAGACCCAGGACTCTCTTGGCCTGTGAGCGAGGCCTGGTAGCCCCAAGACCTCACCTTGTGAGTAGCAGTAGGGGACAGAGTGCAGGGAACCCACTGCCAGGTTGGCTGCTGACCCCTGCATAGGAAAGCCCTGCCCCTCCCTTGGCCTGGGGCCCCTGGGAGCTGCCCTCTCCACACCTTCTGCAGGAACTTGGGGTTCAGACACCCCTGTTCTAGTGCGTGCTCATCTCCTCCCTTGACACGTGACCTTTGTCGAGTTCTCTCCTTATGGTCCCCGGACAGGGAGGAGAGCCTGATGAGACACCTGCCCAGCTCTATTCGGCTCCAAAGATGTGGTTTGTTTTGTTTTGTTTTAAACAATTATTTCATTTAATTTTATTCATTGTCATTCTTTGTATTTTATTTTTTGAAGTTAATCAGAGAGAGACGGAGAAAGAGAAGGAAAATGAGAAAGCAAGCTGCCAGGTCCGGGACTCGAACTGCAGTCAGCCCTGTGGGAGTCCAGCCAACTCAACTACCACGCCACCTGCTGACCAGTTTTGCTTTGTTTTGAATGCCAGATGGCATGTAGGAAAGAGTATGCTCCTGTGGGCACACTCCCCCACAGGGCCTGGTCACATGGCATCCTCTTTCCTCCACTTCTCTATCCCGGCAGGACCTCGGGCACCCACACGGCATGTCGGTCACATGGGATCTGACTTCCTCTCGGCAGCACTGGGGATCTACATGTGATGTTAAAACTGGGCATTGGGGCCGGCAGGTGGCATGGTGGTTAAGGGCACTGGACTCCCACTTGGCTGACTGCAGTTCGAGTCTGGGACCTGGCTGCTTGCTTTCTTTCTCACTCCCCCCATGCTCTGTCCCTCTCTGGTCAAATTAACTAATTAAATGATCTAATTAAATCATTGTTGGGGGGAAAAACAAGCTGGGCATGACCTATCACTGTGGGCCAGCAGTAATGCAGGTGCCCTCCAAGGCTGGAAGCTTTAGCCAACTGTGCGTACAAACCCCCGGGTCAGCTTATACACATGCTGGGCATGCGCACACACACACACTCACAGGCCCCCGTGATCCTGAGGAGCTGGAGGGCTGGGGAAAGGGGATGGTGGCCTGGTGAGATCCTGTTGAGAGGTGCTTTTCTCTCTGGTATATGCACATATTATTTTTTTTTAAAAGGCATGATATGAATGTCCAGACGGTGATGCACCAGCAGTGCAATGCTCTGCAAAGCTGGACCCCGTGGTGTGGGGGTCCCTGGTTCACATGCTGGGCCCTCCCTATGCACACACACACTCCCTGGGCTTGCTGAGATGGGTGGTCTGCAGCGTGAAGATGCTGTCAGCAGCGCGTGTCCTGTCCTCTGTGTCACTCCAGACATGAATGCATCCCTTCTTACACAGCTGCGGGGCAGACCCTCCCTAGGACTGTGAAGTTACAATAAAAGTGGGTGTCCTCTTCAAGCCAACAATCCACCCTGTGGGACTGTGTCTCCAGGGCCAGTTCTCCTGGATATGTGCTGAGATCAAGTGAGGCTGTCCCTCACAGCCCGGGTGATACCAGAGAGATGGGTTATATTCCAACCTGAGCTTTGAACCAGCAGTGGTTCCAGAAGCATGCACTAGTTCATGGTATTTCAATTCACTGTCCAGTAACAAAAGCCAACAAGAAAAAAAACTTGTCCTTGGGCCCAGCAGATGGTGTAATGGATATGTCGCTGGATTCCATGTGGTTGACTGTGGTTCAAGTCCTGGACCTGGTGGCTTAAACTCACGCCGGGTGTATGTGCATGCGTGCCCAAGATCCAGAGAGGAGAATGGAGGAGGAGGGATCATGGCATGGCCATCCGCCCCCCGGGGGGGGGTGATTTCTCACTTTCTGTCTCTCTGACTCTGAGGAGCTGGAGGGCTGGGGAGAGGATGGTGGCCTGGTGAGATCCTGTGGAGAGGTGCTTCTCTCTGGTGTATGCACATATTATTATTATTAAAAAAGCACGATATGAATGTCCAGACGGTGGTGCACCAGCAGTGCCATGCCCCGTCTCTGTCTTTCTGGAGAGCACACGCCCTATAGCAAAAACCTCTGCAAAAAAAAAAAAAGAACTTGTCCTCACAATAAATGTGTTTACACACTTGGGGCTCACATGTTGGCTTCCTTTTTCTTACCTGTATTTTGTAAATTACTTGTGATAGCAATGATCTAAAAGGGTTTCATAGGTGAGCAATTCAGTAAGTTTGTGTTCTTGTAAAATTGTTCACAAAATTCTAAACTTCTTAGCCCAGCCTCGGTATACTGAGCTGTCGCGCTGGAAGCCGCATGGTCACCTACAGGGTTAGATCCCTCACTGGCCTGATACATTCCAGGGATCTATGTGGGCAAAATCTTGACAGACTAGAGGGCTGGGGGAAAGGGTTTGCAGTATGATGAGACCCTGTTGGGGGTTCTCTCTCTCCCTCTCTGCACACATATACACTATCATGAATAAAATAACCTTTTATTTTTGAGAGAGAGACTTTTGCTATAAGGCACATGCACTTGCCAGAGAGAGAGAGAGAGAGAAAGAGAGACAGAGACAGGAAGTGAGAAATCACCCCCTGGGGGGATGGCCACACCACAATCCCTTCTCCTCCATTCTCTCAGGATTTTGGCCACACATGCACATGCACCCGGTGTGAGTTTTAAGCCACCAGGTCTGGGACTTGAACCACAGTAGATTACACGGGAGTCCAGCGATGTAGTTTGGACCAACCACTACATCATCTACTGGTCCCAAATAAAATAAATTTTATTAAAAAAATTTTTTTTTGTGAGCTGGCAAGTGGCATGGTGGTTAAGGACGCTAGACTCCCACATGGCTGACCATGGTTCGAGTCCCAGACCTGTGGCTTGCTTTCTCACTTTCTCCCTCTCTGTTCCTCTCTGGTCAAATTAAAATGAATAAATAAATAAATAAAGTTAAATAAAATAATTCTTTCTTTTTAAATAAATTCTAAGGGGCTAGCAGGTGGCATGGTGGTTAAAGGCACTAGACTCCCACATGGCCTACCACAGTTCAAATCCTGGACCTAGTGGCTTGCTTTCTCACTTTCCTCTCTCTCTCTCTCTCTCTCTCTCTCTCTCTGATCAAACTGGAAAATAATAATAAAGTTAAATAAAATAATTATTAAATAAATAAATAAATTCTAGGGCCCAGCAGTTGGCATAATGGCTATGTCACGGGACTCCCATGTAGTCAACTGCGGTTCAAGTCCCGAACCCAGTGGCTTAAACTCACGCCAAGCGCGTGTGCATGTATGCCCAAGATCCCCAAAGGAGAGTGGAGGAGAAGGGATTGTGGTGTGGCCATCCCTCCTGGGGGGTGATTTCTCACTTTCTGTCTCTCTGCCTCTCTCTGTCTTTCTGGAGAGTGCATGTGCCCTATACCAAAAACCTCTCCAAAATAAAAATAAAAAATAAATAAATTAGTTAATTAATTCTAAACTTGGGGCCAGCAAGTGCTATGGTGATTAAGGTGCTAGACTCCTACATGGCTGACGGTGGTTCAAGTCCCAGACTGGGTGACTTGAAGGTCACACTGGGCACATGTGCATTCATGCCCAAAATTTCAAGAGAATGGAGAAGGGACTTCAGTGTGATCCTCCCCCACTGGGGGGTGTGTGTGATTTCTCACTTTCTTCCTCTCTGTATCACTCTGTCTCTTTCCTCTCTGGCAAGTTCATGTGCCCCATGGCAAAAACCTAAAAAGTAAAATAAATTCTAAATAAAATAAAATTCTAAAATGTTTTAAATTATTTTTAGTTAACTTTATTTATTTATTTATTTTAATTTGACCAGAGAGGGACAGAGTGAGAGTGAGAGAGAGAGAAAAAGTGAGAAAGCAAGCTGCCAGGTCTGGGACTTGAACCGTGGTTAGCCATGTGGGAGTCCAGCCCCTAACCACCATGCCACCTGCCAGCCCCAATCAATTCTAAACTTATTTTCTAAGATTCTTTGGTCCCATGACTCTGTACTAGAGATGTAAACATCAGCAGCTATTACGATTCCGGAAGAAGGCTGGCAGGTGGTGTAGTGGCTATGTCGCTGGACTCCCACACTGCCAACCGCAATTCCAGTCCCAGACTGGCGGCTCGCTTCTCACTTTCCCTCTCTCTCTGTCCCGCTCTAGTCAAATTAAAGGTGCCCGAGATCCCGCGAGAGGAGAATGAAGGAGATGGGCTGGGGGGTGGCCATTCCCCCGGGGGGTGATCTCTCACTTTCTGTCTCTCTGTCTCACTCTTTCTGGTGAGCACACGCGCCCTATAGCAAAAACCTCTCAAAACAATTTTTTAAAAGTATTTATGGTCTGAAATTTGAAGGTTGTAAAGCTTTAGGCTCTCAAGAGTCGCCGGTCAGAAGATGACCCTGCAAATCTGCTGCCGCCTATGGGCCAGATTCAGTCACGCTCAGCAGCCCCACGTCCTCTGGAAGCAGGCTTCCCGCCCCGCCCCAGGCTGCACAGGGGTAACACTTACCTGAGGGCTATGCAGGAGTAGGAGTAGCCCACAAAAGGCAGGTGGACCCCCAGCGGCATTCCCTCCGGCATGTCTGACAGCGTCTCCTACACAAGACACAGATGTGCCCAGCAGTCGTCAGAGATGGCCCCTCCCCCATTTCTGGTTTTGGCTTAAAAGTCCCTCCCAAACCAACCCGGATTCAGAAAGGAAGATTCCTCTCCTGCCTCTATCCTCTCATGCCTCTAGGTCTAACCTCCTCCAGGAAGCCCACCAGGACCTCCTGTGCTGGGCCAGGAGCCCATCCCTGCATCCCCCTATTGCAGCTCTGGTCATTCTGGGTTCTCTGAGGAATGAATTACTCAGCACCCAGGGATACCGACCCTCAGTACCTCAACTCTGTGGAGGTGAGATGGGGGGTGCAGGTGGATGGGGGTGGATGGGACAGGGCGAGCAGGTCGCAGGTACCTACCCCGCCCCCGCTCACCATGGCAGTGAGCCCATCCTCCACCACATCGAAGTTGCAGGTGTCAGTAGCACCCTCGAAATCTGGGGTAAAGGGGGGCGCGCTGTCACGGAGATGGTCCCAGTCGAGGCCAAGGAAGAAAGGATGCTTCTGGAAATCGCCTGCGCCATTGCGGCCTAGCCGTGTCTCCGGAGGACACAGCAGCCTCTGGATGAGGTCTCGAGCCTCCTCAGGGACCCCCGCGCCCGCCGGTGGCAGAGACAGGTGCTCCTGCTCAGGAAGGGAAAGGGGCGACGTCAGCTGGGGAGCCTGCGTGGAGGTCACGGGTCCTCCGGGCCGTGCTCACCTTGTAGTGGACGATCTTGCCGTAGGTCTCGGCCGTGGACTCCGCGTAGAAGGGCGTCTGCCCATAGAACATTTCGTAGGCAAACACCCCCAGCGCCCACCAGTCACACTCAGGCCCATAGCTGCCTGTCCCGGGCCCGCCGCCCACGGCCTGCAGGATCTCGGGGGACAAGTAATCCGGCGTGCCCACAGCCACCAGCGACCGCACCTGCGTCAACAGGACCAGAACTGGGCTCGGCCTAGCTCACCCTCCACCTCCAACGCCCTCCTCCTAACCACGCCCTGGGCGGTCTAGCCCTGGCTGTGCAAGCTCCCTGGCTGCAAAGCACCCTTAGGCCGGGGTTGCTCCTCCGAATCTGGCCCCGCCTCGCCCTAGCTCCGCCCCACACTCTGCGGCGCCCCAGGCCCCTCCCGGCAGCTCGGGTTGCCCCCGGGTGAGGGCGCCCACTCACCGTTCCGTCCGCCCGCAGCCTGAGGCAGGAGCCGAAGTCAGCCAGGCGGGTGGGGCCGCCGGGG